GATGAAGCGGCTCTTGGAGATCCTGCGAAAAAGATTTAAGTGTGAGAATGAGTTTTAACTAACAAAATTGTGTACATTTCTCTTCCAAAAAACTCAGCCCCTGATCTTTAACGTATACACATCAAATAGAACATAGTCCTTATTGTGATAATTTTTTGTTTACTACGATTTCAAAGGATACACTTTTTATTCTTTCATCACTATGTTCTTTATGAATAAGACTTAAAACAAAACTAGTAGACATGTCAAAAAAACATGTACTAAAACTTTATACCTCTTTTTCAAGATTTGCTTTTGATATTTTATTATCTTGAAACATTTGAAATGAGGTCTATTGGTGTATTTATTTTTAGCAAATATTTAAAATAAATAACAGCAGTTTTGTTTACTTGTGAGGCCTTGTCGGGCAATATTTCTTAAAGGGATAAATATATTTTGGATTCTTGGCTATTAACCCATTAATGCCTGCCCATAGACCCGCTGGTACGATTTTGATGAAATTTTTAAATATGTGCCTGGGAGGCCATAAAAGTTGATAGAAAAAAAAAAAAATTTTTACATGCGAACACACCTTAGATATGACATGGGTATTTAAATACCCGACAGGCATTAACATTAACTTTGAAATAACTCCAAAAAAAAACACCATTGGCTATTGTTTTGACGTTTTGTGCATTATTGACATTTGCCAAATGGTTTTTTATGCACCATCATCCCACATGTAAAAAAAATACTTATAGTGATATAAAAAGGTCAAATAAACAAGAAAAAAGTGATAAGAAATAAATTGGCTGATTATAAACAATTGTAAGTACACATGATCTTTTTTTCGTTATATTTTATGTAAAATTATAAATATATGTCTCAATATATTATAGAATATTCAGAATGATTCGTCGGCAGAAAGTTCTCACTGCTATCGAGCTGCAAGCTATTTTAGATAGTTGGTCTGATGGAGATAGTGATGGAGAGGATAACTTTGTCCAACACGCAGACGCCGTTGATATTATCATAACGCCACCCGATGTCGATATTCTGAGTGACAATGAGGAATTGGACGACAATATTCAATTGTTGCGCGATAACCCGGAGCTGCCTCATGAGATTGCAGGGCAATTTGAAATTCAATGCGTTTACGATGACAGCAACGAGCACTTGCCATCGGGTTGTGATGATGATACCGTAAATGAACCCGATTTTGAACAAGAAGAAGAAGATGATACACCGGTGGCCTCGACATCTAGTGGTCGTGGTCGCAAATCAACGCTTAAATCAAGTAAGCCACCTAAGCGACCCAGAATCGAAGAGGGCATGAAACCAAAATGGTCTCGGTCGCAAAATTATCAATTCACTAAGATTCCATTCGATGATTCGGCCACTTCACACAAAGCGTTGTATGAGAAAATTGGTGACATGAATCCAGTGCAGCTTTGGGAAATGTTCATCGATGAGGAGGTGTTGAACATGTTGGTTACTTCAACCAACCAATATGCTGCGACCAAAAATTGTCCTTCGTTCATAACATCAATTAGCGAAATGAAAACGTTTTTGGGCGTGTTGTATATAACCGGTTACCATACATTGCCGCAAATATATAGTTATCGGTCAAATCGGGAATCATTAGGATGCGCGCTAATAAAAGAATGTATTTCAAGAGACAGATTCAAACGAATCAAACAGTTCTTTCACGTGTGTGACAACTCAGCATTGGATATGAAAAACAAATTTGCAAAAGTCGCACCATTGAATGACTTATTGAACAAAAAATTTCTTCAATTTGGTGTTTTCTCTCACAACCTTTCCATTGATGAACAAATGATTGCCTACTACGGCCGACATTCGTGCAAAATGTTCATCAAGGGAAAACCAATTCGTTTCGGGTACAAGTATTGGTGTTTGGCTTCGTCAGAAGGCTACTTGTATCAACTACTTCCATACGCTGGTGCATCAGAACAGGAGGACCCAGGTTTCGGACTGGGAGAACGTGTTGTGCTATCACTTCTTTCACATCTGGAGGCCCGCGCCAAGCGCACGGTTACCTTTGACAACTTCTTTACAAGTCACAAACTTATGACTCGTTTGTCGAACGATGGATTCTTCGCTTTGGGAACTGTTCGTGATAATCGGACCAATCATGCCCCATTAATGAACATCAAGGAAATGAAAAAGAAGCCTCGCGGGACGTCTGACTTTCGTTTCGACATGAACAATTCTATTTTGGCGGTGCGTTGGAATGATAATGCGGTAAGTTATATGTGCAAAGAAACATTTCAATTTGACTATCGGTTCATTTTGATCTTTACGTCCATCGTTGATGTGTTCTTCATTCATTCTTATCTTTTCAGGTCGTGACCTTATTATCGAATTTCCTAAGCCATACACCAATGGTCCGCGCGAAACGGTATGATCGAAAGCAACGGAAAATGGTTACTATTGAGCAGCCGTATTTGGTCAACGAATACAATCATCTTATGGGAGGTGTGGACCTTTTTGACAATGCAATGAACAACCACGCTGTCGAGTTTAAATAGCGGCAAATCAGCTGCACTTGATAGTAGTTGGTTGAATAAGGAAAATGAATTAGCAACAAGAGTTTACGGGATGTACATAGCTCAGTGGTTAACGCTTCTGACTTTGAACATCGAATTCGCAGGTTCGATCCCTGCTGAAGTCTAGAAAAAAGAAGTCTGATGAGGAGATGTGGTGATCTCCGAAATAGTGCTATAACTTCTACCGCTTAGACTTTGTTGCTTTTTCAATTTTTCCTAATAAACAATCGTGGTACAAAGCTCAATAAAAATATTAAAAAAAAAAAAAAAATTCAATGAATAATTATCGAATTCGGATTCGGGGAAAAAAGTGGTATTGGCCATTAATAACAAATGCGTTTGACGCGGCTATGGTAAATGCATGGAAGTTACATTGCTTCTGTCGCAAGTATGACAAGAAGCCACCGATGTCTCAATATGAATTTCGAGTGGAGGTGTGTGAATCGATTATGATCAAGTCCAGTTATCATCATCCGGGTAGAACGTCGGCTTCCGGGGCACAACTGGCAATGCGTTACGACCGTATGGATCATTTCATCGGAAAACTTAATACTCGTCATCGTTGTCCGCAATGCGGTGGCAAAACTGAATATGGTTGCTTGAAGTGCCAAGTGAACTTGCATCCCGCTCCTTGCTTTCTGGATTACCACAACGGCGTTGAACCAGATAAGAAAAAGATTGCCAAGGCTAAGTAATCTATTTCTTATAAATATAATAATTTCTCAGTAAAATAAAAAAAAATTCTATTTAATTATGCGTTTTATTCACTGCAAATTAAATGTTTCCATATAGGAAAAAAAAGACTTTTTGTGTACCCACATTGGACTGTCGGGTATTTAAATACCCATTTTCATTTAACCAGGTGTAACGGCCAGGTGTGTTGAGATATCTCTATAGCGTTTTTTTCATTACATGAAGGACACCTGAAGCTATCTGGTAAGGTGAGCTTTTTTCGTTTTTCCCATTTCCCTATATTTGGGAGCGCTTTTCCTAAGAATTTTCCGATAAAAAAAAAACCTCGATTTTTGGCTTAAAAAAAAAAGTTTTTAACGAAAACAATATACTGACATAATTTTATTTTTTAAGGCTCATTCTTCCTCTTCAATCAAAAAAAAATATAACTTCGATATCTCTTTCCTAGCCCGAGCTAGAATTTATTTAGTGACACCACTTTCTTGGGTATTTAAATACCCATTAGGCAGGAATGGGTTAACTTCGGTCCGGATATGTCGGCCTTCCTCTGCTGTTTAATGTCGAAGTTTGAGCAGTCAAGTCAAGCAGTTAAGGCTAGTTATAAAGAGAGTCGTTGCTCGCATTATTAAAAATCTGCAAGGCTGATGGAATATTATTGTTCAAAGATCTGGTATGAAAAATCCAATGAATCGCCAGTTTTCCAAACATTTTCATTTGTAAAATTAACTTAAAACAAGTAAGAAAGTCTAAGTTCGGGTGGAGCCGAACATTAAATACCCGGCGCAAGTATTAAATATGTGACCTGGTCTACGAAAAGGGAGCTTACGTGCGAAAACTAGTTTTCTGTGAAAAGCTGTTAAAAGTAAGCAACTCGTTTCGTCAGTTTCTCATTATCTCGTTAACTGTTCTCCGCGCCGGACGTCCAGTAAGTGTTGTTGTTGGTCCAGTAAGTGTTGTTGTTGGTCCAGTAAGTGTTGTTGTTGGTCGGAATATTATTATAGTTCATCGTGTAAGTTGCTAGTGTGGAACATTTAAAAAAGTAACACTGAAGAAGTGACGTTTACTGTTTCTGTTGATTATCGTCTTCGCATTTCGCATGAAATGAAACATGAGTGTTGATGAGGAGTTCAGTGCCGTATACGGACAATATTTCCATGAAAAGGATGATGAAAACGATGATGAAAACTATGAAGAGAGCGATGATGATGACGACGAAGTATGTGTATCTCAGGCAGAAGATGATACCGAACAAACTTTTGTTAAGATGGACCTGTATGTTGTTGATGTAAAGGAGGAGGAGCTGGTAACAAAATTTCTGTCAAAAGATTGTTGTAATAATGAATGCCATACACTGATACCACGGGAAATGATCGAGAGTACGCGGAACAATTGTTTAGAGATGTCGAAAAATGAACTTGATTTAGTGATTTTGTCGTATTTTTACTCTTCTTTCTCTACATTTTTAGTACACTTCTAAGCAAGTTAGGATTTTCTGCTTTTCACCACGTGAAAAAGCATCTCATCTTCCATCCGAATCAACCAAAAAGTGAAAATTGATTTTTTGACACCTAAGCCCCCTTTCCGTAGACCAGGTCACATATATGTTTTTTCACCTTTCCGAAACCTACCGCTAGATGGTAACCGTAAATTAGCGTCCTTAAATTTCGAAATATTGCAGTTTCAAGCATTTCTGAAATTTGCCTTTATATGGAAAGTGGTCGTAATTTTAATCTGATTCCAATAATTTTCAAGGTTTTGCTTCTATGTGGCAAGCACAATAAAAATACCGAGTTTGGTACAAATTGGTAGAACGGTTACCGATATACATATATGTGATCATAAGTGGGCGGTGCCACGCCCATTTTCCAAAATTTTACCATAAACGTATTTCTTGGTAAAGAATTGTTGCAAGCATCAATTTTGAATAAATTAGCTTTAATATTTACTGATTTATCGAAGATTTTGTACTTCTCTAAATTACCGTTATATGGGATGTGGGCGTGGTTATTGTCAGATTTTTTAAATTTTCGGCCATTTAGTATGCTGTACCAAGGCCAACAACTGCCAAGTTTGGAAGAAATTGGTGCAGCGGTTACCAAGATATACACATGTAACCATAAGTGGGCTACGCCCATTTTCCAAAAATTTATAATATTCTTAATTTTAGTCTAAAAATTGTTGTAAATATCAATTTTGTCATTTTGCCATTTGTCTATATCTATCTCGATTCGTTTTGGCTGTTACAAACAACCGTTATGTGAACAAAATTAATATACCCTTGTGCACAAGTGCGCTCGGGTATAAATATAAGCAAACGAATGCAGAAAGTTTTGCGCTATAGTCAAAGAAGTATATGAATGTCCTTAAATTTTAGAGCCTTCGGAACATCCTTTAAAGGACTATGAAACCATAATACTCTCTACTCAGCTTCGAAGAGGACGTATGGATGTTGGCACACTTTTGCGCA